TCGCAATTATATGGATCTTTTACTAGATATATATATATATATATATATGCGCTATATATAATTCAAGGATGACATATGAAAGGTGTCGAATAGATTTGGATCATTCGATTTTGCATGTTCGGTGAAGGAATTTTAGTATTTTACATATATAATCTTAAAAGTTTCAGCACTGGCATTTATATCACAACGTCAGTTCATCACTGTCGTGCAGATGTTGCATTTTGTTACAATGTGCTTGAGTTTTGTATCCTTTCACCCTCAGCAAATTTTTCGTCCAAATACTTATTATATTTTTATTTTTCTTCTCAGAGGTTGGCAGCTGGTGAATGGTTTACAGCTCGAGTCTCTGCATGTGGGCTTTTTCATATTGCCTACCCTAGTGCACTGGATACATTGAAGACAGAACTGCGATCAATTTACAGTCAGTTGTGTCAAGATGACATGCCTATGGTTAGGAGGTCTGCTGCTACAAACCTAGGAAAATTTGCAGCAACTGTTGAACCCGCTCATCTGAAGGCTGATATCATGTCTATATTTGAGGATCTTACTCAAGATGGTAACTGAATGCTGCCTTCACATTCTCAATTTTTAAAGTTAAAGCTGCCACATTTAGTTTCATATTAGATGAAGATTCGCCAAGTTATATTTCTTACAATTAGTTTCATTTTAGATCAAGATTCTGTTCGACTCTTGGCTGTTGAGGGCTGTGCTGCTCTTGGGAAGTTGTTGGAGCCCCAAGATTGTGTTGCACATATCCTCCCCGTTATTGTTAACTTCTCTCAGGTAAACCTTGTATTTAGAATGTTGAATTCTACATTTGGTTATATTCATCCTATTTTTGCTTAAATACTGAATGGATAGTTACAATAATAAGGCATGTGTATGGAAGCTGTTGGGCATGACACTTTGGACTGTCACTAGTAGGTTTTTTGCATTCGAAAGAATATCATTGAATGTTTTGCATCTTAACAATTTTTCATTCCTCTGAATAGGATAAGTCTTGGCGTGTGCGTTACATGGTTGCAAATCAACTATATGAGCTTTGTGAAGCTGTGGGGCCTGAGCCTACGAGGTATTTATTGTCATACCACAGCCATGTGCTAAAATGAAGATAGTAGGAATAGGCTATTTTGATTTCTAAAGAAGTTTTTTTTTTTTTTTTAAATATTTGATTTATTGTGGTTGTCTTTGAAGGACGGACCTGGTTCCGGCATATGTGCGATTGCTTCGAGATAATGAGGCTGAAGTTCGTATAGCAGCTGCTGGCAAAGTTACCAAATTTTGCCGGATTTTAAGTCCGGAACTTGCAATTCAGCATATTCTTCCATGTGTGAAGGTGTGTTTGCTTTAATGCAAAGTTTTTCCTTTCTTAGTGGTGTTAATTTTTAACTTCAACTTATTATTTTATACTGGTAATTTCAATACTTTCCAATGACCTTTGCAGGAGCTGTCATCAGATTCTTCCCAACATGTCCGGTCTGCTTTGGCTTCAGTTATAATGGGAATGGCTCTTGTATTAGGAAAGGTGAGATTTGGTGTTATTATTTTTTTCTAATTTATAAACACAAATAATGAACTGGAGCTGATATGAGGTGTATATGACTGTTACATTAAATGAATATTTTTGGTTCGATGGCTTGTGGAGCTGAATATTTGTTGGAAAGTCCATACATCTGTGAAGAAGTTGGGAAAAAAAATGAATGAAATGTGTACAGGTCCATACTCCAAATTTGAATCCGGATGACTAAATGGTACAAGTCAATGAATCTTAAATGACATTCCTTTCCCATAATTTTCTCACTTGAAACGTAAATGTTCTGTGCCTAGAAGGTTTTACGATTGCAGTACAATTTCTACTAATTTACAGTGTTGTAAATTGACTCTTGTTGTGATAATAATTGAAAAGGAGCCTGCATGCCGGTGTGAGCTGCTTGTGTTTGCATGTAAACTATTTGTCTTAGTTTTTATATATACCACGGCCTGCACATTGCCTCTTAGTTGTTTTAGTCTCAATCCTGCAATTGATGTTTTAATCATATGATCTGCTCTCTGTGATCTTTAAAGTACATTACTTGCATACATCTCATTCTTAGGGTTAATGCAGGATGCTACAATTGAGCAGCTCCTTCCCATTTTTCTTTCACTCCTGAAGGATGAATTTCCTGATGTGCGTCTTAATATCATTAGCAAGCTTGATCAAGTGAATCAGGTCAGTTTAATTCTGAGAAAGTAAATGCACTATATTTCCCCCCATTTATGCTTTCTATGATTCTGTACGTGATTTTAAACTCAATTTTTTAGACCTCAGCATTTGGTATTTTTTTGGTCTTCCTTATCAAAATATCAAAGGTTAGACCTTTTCAAGTGAATGCCGAAGCGTGTCATTCTTGCAGGTTATTGGAATCGATTTGCTGTCTCAATCCTTGTTACCAGCCATAGTGGAGCTAGCAGAGGATAGACATTGGAGGGTTCGACTTGCAATAATAGAGTACATACCTTTATTGGCAAGTCAGCTGGGTGTAGGGTTCTTTGATGATAAGCTTGGTGCCCTTTGCATGCAGTGGTTACAAGACAAGGTTAGTGTATTCCTACATTTTGAGTACATCTCACTTCATGATAAGCCTGAAGGGAAGAAACGTTGTTCTTTGTTTCTCTTCCCCCTTCTCTCTCTGTCTCTCTATCCCTCTACCGCCCCCTCCCCCCAAAGAAAGAAAGACAGGGTGCATACTCATTAGTGCTTTCTGCTTTGGAATCTATTGCAGGTCTACTCAATTCGTGATGCTGCTGCTAATAATTTAAAGCGTCTGGCAGAAGAGTTCGGTCCAGAATGGGCAATGCAACATATTGTTCCACAGGTTTTTTTTATGACTTTGATTAATTCAGTTGCCACAAGTTCTGCCATGGGAGATTCCAGAAATGTTGAAAATAATGTCATTGTTTTGTCCTGAATTTACGGCTTTTATCTTCCTGGAAATTAGAATTATAGGTTTAGAATGGTTTTATGTAGGAAGATTTGCCAGCAACCACCTTTCTCATCACATTATTTTTTATTTCTTGTGGACGTTTGAATATACTAGTTAAAATTCACCGAAATTGTGGACAAGACAGCTTATGGCTTTTAAAGTTTGGTCGCTTACCACATTTTCGACTTTGTAGTTTTCATCATTATTTTATTCTTTAAGGGTTATGTATATACTCTACTCTCAAAATTTTAGGAATTTGTCATTTGGGCAGGTCCTTCAGATGATAGACAATCCACACTATTTGTATCGAATGACAATTCTTCGTGCAATCTGTCTCCTTGCCCCGGTTATGGGTCCAGAAATCACATGTTCAAAACTGCTGCCAGTGCTCATCAATGCGACAAAGGACAGGTATATACACACTATGAATTCTGTGTACCAAATAGGAAAGATACGATGCTGGTGGAGTTATTCCATTCACTGGCATAAATTCTTTGTTTTTTCCTCAGAGTACCGAACATCAAATTCAATGTCGCAAAGGTGCTGCAGTCCCTTATCCCCATAGTTGATCAGTCTGTAAGTATCTATTCGAGTCCTTTGTAATTTGTTATTTCATGTATTCACTTTCTCTGTCTTCTTTCTTCCCGGGCTTAAATTTTCCTTGACGTTGACAGGTGGTGGAGAAAACAATTCGTCCCTCTTTGGTTGAGCTCAGCGAGGACCCAGATGTTGATGTCCGGTTTTTCGCTAACCAGGCTCTTCAGGCAATTGATCATGTCATGATGTCAAGCTAGAAGAGCCTGAAGAGTAAGCGTCTAGGGGGTTCATTGCTCATGTTGAAGATGGAAGGCATCATTTCTGCGAACTCAGAGTACGTCGTTAATGTGTTCCTCCGTTGCCGGGAGCGTCTGAGAGTAAGCGTGTGCTATTAATTTGTGCCTAACTGCCGGACCGTTTTCGGATTCCCGCGATTTTACGTTATGCCGTCGTATATGGGTAAAATGTGTAATATTAGCATTGAGAATTTGTGTCATGTTCTGCAATATTTGTTATGATGGGTCTTCATCGGTAGGAAAGTATTGTCTTAGGTTTGAAGAACCTTTTTATTTGTTGGTGAATATATCGTTATATATATTTTTTTTATTTAATATTTTGTTGGTTGCAAGAACATTCGAGATCTCCTTAATTCATCACTTAATATTGAGCTTCTGATTTGTAAACAATTTAAACTTGTGAATTAAAATTAGAGAAATGCCAAGGTAGCTTGTAAAGTGAGACTCTTTATGGACTTCCTGCCACTTTACATTTTAACGTTAATTTTTATGTCAACGTTATAAAACATTGTGCTAAAATCATGAGATGACAATCTCCTACGGTTTGTCTTAAAATTATATTCAATTTGAGGTCCCATATACATAACACCTATTACAAGGAAAAATCGTGGTTGAAATCGGGAAGAGATACTCGTTTTGTCACTAATTCATCACGCGATAATTTTTTATTGAATGACTGATTCACTTTTTGAACATGTGGCAAGCATCGATGCGCCAGATGATGTGTTACTCGGTCTAAATTGATTGCAAAAGAGAATATAATAGAATCTCTCATCTCCTGCATTAATGCAAACTAATTAGTTACATGAGATAAGTACCGAGTCTAAGTTACACGGTAGAATCTCTCGCCTCTTTGATGCGTCTTCAAAGAGTAATGAAGCTGCCAACCCACGTGACAATGGAGTTTGGTGGGTAACTTCAGCAGAATGTGAGTGAATGGTATTCGACTATTCGAGAGGTCCAAACTGACGATACTGTAGGCGGTGGACGGTGGAGTTGTGAGAGGATGAAAGACCTACAGCCCTGGGGGTTGAGGCACTGTAAACAGTTAACCTACGACCGATGGTTCGCACCTGGTGCCCCATCCCCCACCAACCACCAAATAATAATTGAAATCTTGGTTTTGCTGCATTGCAATCAGTTTGGTTTGGTGCGTTGTGCATGCGACATGGCCTATAAATACAACCATAGAACTACAAGGATGTTAAATTCACCCAAACCTAGCGTTATTCCATGGATCATCTTCACGACATAGAAGTGGCAGAAGAAGAAGGAGAACATATGAGAAGTATGCAGGTATTTCATAAATTACATATATATAGGGACAGATCCGTGACATCATTGTTTTTTTCAAAACTTTTGACACACGTTTTTGTGAAGCCCACTCCGTAATGTATTTTAACGATTTGAATCGACTATCTTTTAGATTTTCCCTCAAAGATCATCTCTACAAAAAATCACCTAAATTTGAAATAGTTACCAAACGGGTCCACTCCGTAATATATTTCATGTCATGCAACTTTTTTTTTTTCTTCACTTTTTTTAAAAATTAAAAACTATAAATTGAAATAGTTATCAAACAGACCCTTAAATACGCATGATGAGAAAATTACCAGTACTTCTCGGTGTGGGATAACACTCGCAAAGTATTGTAGTTTTGGTAACTTTCAGATTAAAGAATATATGATGATCGATCTAGCAATATCCAGTTAAATTTTATGCAGGTTGGAGGAGCTAGGGCATGGGAACATCGAATTACACAGTGCAATATGATCTGCGTTGTTCCTTTTTAAGTTCTACAATATTCAACTCATTAACATTTGTTTTTGCAGCAAACGACTCGGCAGTAAATTCATATGGAGCACTCATTTGAGCAAGAATGCACAACTGATATTAATAGGCGAAGGTTCCCATCTGCAGCCCCGCGAAGAAACCTCAACCACGAAGTTTCACGAGGGGCGGCGGAGGCGTATTTTGGTCTTCAACTGTCAGTAGGCTAGCCGTGACTATGAGGAGGATATGTGAGTGTATGTATATATGCATGATTTTGTTTTGATGGTTATCATAAACTCACGTTAACAAATGTTTGCTAAACTTGGCCAGCGCCCCACCAACCCCCCGCATCAACCACCACACCATAATCCCTACTCTCTTTTGTCCAACGCAGTGATTGCTAATAATAAGGATTTAAAAGAGCATTTCATATCAAGAAGATCAAGATAAAGTCCGATGATGTTAATCTTGTTATGGAGGCCATTGTTGATCCTTGGCCATGCTTCACGCAAAGAAGAAACATATTTAGTCCTGAGTTAATTATGGTGTATGGATGTCCATTCCAATCTAATCAAAGCTTTTTGCGACAAACAATTGAAACCATATGGTTGTGTGATTGATTTTTCGGCATTACCCTAAACCCATTTTCCATTGGGATCAAATTTGGTGTTGGAGAAATTTTTATGGGTGCCTATAACTCACATGTTATAATTTGAGCAGAATAATAACGTCACGTGATTGTGTTCTAGATGCACTAAAAAATTACTCATAAATTTAATATCCTGACATTACTCTAAAATAAATCTTACTTCATAGTTTATATCTCTCCCACACACATAAATTTACCATCTTACCACCTCTTTTCTTCGATGCTTCACAAAACTCCCAAGTTCCTATCTTTCAATATAATCCATCTCTGAAATGCAAACCAGGGTAGGCCAAACACCCCTAGAGTTCAAGCACTACTACTCCTCCTCCTCCTCCTCTTCATAGGGTTGCAAAATAGGTGGTGGCGATTAGCGCCACATGGCAGCGCCAATCGCCAATAAGCATCGGAGGCTGCCAAGCTCAGCAGAGACCGAGGTTGCTTCACCATATGGTACTTCTCCGAACTGGTCCTCGCCTCTCTCCCAAAAAAGGATTGTAGCAAAATTTTACCTTTAACAATCAAAGTCTCAATCGAATTTTACTGATTCAAGTGATGGTGATCAACAGAAAGTGATTCGAACACAGAACTTCGCGTGTACGGAGCGTCGGGAATTAATATAACAAAGTCTCGTGGCCGCATTATGGGCTGTATTGGCACCCGCACTATCACCCACCATGAAGATTCTGGAAAAGTTGCATTTCCTTGACCACCATGCATTATTAATTGTATCTTTTTTGTTTTTTTTTAGGCAAGATCAAGCTTACCAATTTTTGTCCTTTTGTGCTTCTGTCCAATTTGTAGCAAAAATGTTGCTAAACATGAACAAATACTTGACCATCCAAATATAAGCACGTACCATAGCAAATCGATGCTCTTAATTGATCTTTACCTTCGTTTACGTTAAAAATTCTATGAATATGGCCGAATTCTATGGATAATTGATTTTATTTTTCATGTAAAAGTGACTGTCTGCACTAAATTAATCTAAACTACGAAAAAAGAAATTTGAAATAAAATAATTAATTAATTAAAGCCCCTAAACTTGCTAATTAAAGATAGTTAATTGTCATTAGTCATCCACATTATCTATCGTGAACAGTGCAGACGAATTTAATAAGCATAACGAATTGACATGTTCTTAACTTACGTGCATGACATATTCTTGAATTTGGATTCATTTGCAGGCAGATAATGTGCAAATCAGCATTTCTGCATCTATATCCATTTTTGACCACAAACGTAGTATTTTGTGTTCTTCGATCTCTCCCAAACTTTGTATATAAATCCCGAACTTTTCCCTTCAACAACCCAACTCACCATTTCCTGATCAGACATCCCAAAACAGAAAAAGCACTTTTGATTTCAGTACTATTGATCAATAATTCAACATGGAAATGCTCACAAACGCTAATCTTGCATTCGAGGATGAAAGTGCTTATGTCGACGACGATGATGTCTTTTTTGCCGAGATTAGAAGCCAGATTTTGGCGTTGACATCTGACAATGAAGATTTTCCGGACTCGAAAAGCGCAAAATATAACTCATTTAGTAGCAGTGTCACCAAACGTCCTGCAGGTCACACTATTTCATCATCACTTGGATATATAAGCTGGTTGGGAAATAAGAACAGTAGTAATTATGCAGTACCAGCTTCCCTTGCAAAGTTGTGGGAAAACAGCAATGTTACTGGGACTGGAGTTTTTATCCCACAAGCTGTAAAATCCAGAAGAGATTGCAGGCCAAGTAAATCACTCTAATCCTTTCTTAATTACGATTACTCTTTCCGCATAGAAAAAGAAGGATTTTATTCAATTTTAATTTATCAGTGACTAATTTTTGTCTGGTGTCCGGCAGGAAGGATGAACAACGACAGGAGAAGAACTTACAAGCGAGTGGAGAACATGAACAAGCAGTCATGAGCACAAGTTTGCCAACCTCAAATAATGTCACGGCCCAGAGTGTTTCAAAACAAAACAGATTACCGACGGGGGAAAATTTTGCAGTATAAACACTGCAAGCATCATGTGCCATAAGGGAACTCGGGAAGATTTAATTATATACCATTTTCAGGATGTATTAGTTACAATTACTCTAAAATACTACCTCATTGTAACCCAATTTATTTATTTGGTCGTATCAAATAACAAAACACAAAGGAATATGCCATATTTCGCCGTTTTGATTAGGGTAGTGATTTTTTCTTTTCGTGCAATCCTCTTTGTTTTCTTGCCTTCGAATTGAATAAATCAAAACAAAATCAGAAGGGCCAAAGGAGAAAACAAAAGTTCGGAAATCAATACACTTTTTTAAGGGAACATTAACAAAAAGTTCCCGATACTGTTCACTTTAATGAAAAACCACATGTTTACACTAAAAAATCAGCCCTAGTACTATTCACTTTACCCTTTATTTTGTCATTATCGTTAAAACTCAAAATTTTCAAATCATTTTCATTAGTTTTCCCCTTTTTTACTATTAGGCGAGATTTTTGTAAAAGTCAAGGAATGAAACAACTAGCCACTTCCTACAATTCAGGTTCTCCAAAAATGATTCCAGTCCCCACAGACTATCTGATGCGATTAGTATAGAACATAATGCTAAAATGAGTATACATCCATCCATTTATGCTAAAGAGGACATATTCTTTTACCTTAATTACATGCTAGGAAATCACCAGTCGACCTTTCCTAATCATCGACGTTTCGAAAAGCATCATAAGGAAAAAAAGGGGGTCCGAAAAGCCCGAATCTGCAATTTTGATGGTTAACCATCTTCATGGTCTCAGCACTAGAGCTGGTTTACTAATAAGGGGGGAAATACCTAACTTTTTTTGTAGGTCCTAAGGTGGGGCGGTCGAGCTGATAGTGAACAACATTAGTCCCTGGGACGCGCTTGCCATAAAGAACTGAGTGCTCGGAGACGAGAGAAGTAGTCACTGATGACAAGAAGGGCGCGAGCTGCTTGGCGAGTGGTCAGAATCCGATGCAATTGTTGCAGAGTTTGCTGTCTCAAAAGGTCGGCCTAACAAGTAAAAAAGGTGTGCAAGTTAGTTTTTGTATATCAAATGTATGTGCATAAAGATATGATAAGCGCGCTTGGTTACCTGGTGAAGGAAATTCTCAAGTGTGGCCAGCTTTCCCATAGCAATTGCCATTTGGCCCATGTAGTCCGCGACATTATCAGAACCAGTGGGGCAATGAATCGGCGAGGAAAGTGTTTCCACAAGAGATTGTTGCAAAGCTTCCATCCCTTGTGACAAGGCATCTTCAGCCTGTTGGGAGGATTGCTGCAGATTGCATATTCCCATCAACTGCTGATCTGTTAAAGGTTCGAGGTGGTTCCCAAGTATCTGAATATCCAATGATAAAATCACGATTAAAGATAGGCCTACGGTGAAGTATATACAACTTAAAAAACAAAATCAAATAGAAGATCACCTTGAGAAGTTCAGACGAGCGGAATCCACCCAACCACATAAAACACCTTTCAGCAGGTGTCTTCCACATTCCAGAGAGCATGTGAAACACATCAATCTTTGCAGCAATGCTCTTCAACCTGAATATCTCATCATAATGTGTCATTACGCTGTCAACGAGAATCCGCAATTCATTATCTCCCATATGGGAATTCACAGCTGATCGCATATCATGTATCAGCCGCTGATGTTCTTCAAGCCAGCGTGCATACTCCAAGTTGAATGTTAAGGCCCCTGACAAGTACAATCAGTTATCAGAAACCATTGGATCAGGACATGCTTTTCCAAATATCATATCATATATTCTCTACAAGTTACCCCGAACTGCAAGCGATTGTTCATTGAATGCAGGAAACAAGAAATTGGAAAACCTTTACAGCATTTTATGCTTCGTTTTCTTTAATTAACAAAACTAACTAAAATCTTCATGGATCCAACTGAAATAACTTACCATTTCCTGCCACTGAATGACCATGATCCCCTGGAAGTCCATCTGCAATATATATACCCTGCATTGAAACACCACCAGAAGAAATGAATAATTACATATATGCATACACACACACATTACCGATGAAAAATACAAAGTCGTTCACCTGCTGGCGGGCTCGCTGAAGCTCTTGCTCTAGCTGCGAAAGCCTAAGTCGACTATTTTCCAGCTGCTGGACATATGCCTATGTATCCAAAACCAAAACCTATAAATGATCCAAATATGTTCCATTCATTAACTTAAGACAATGTAACATTTTCATTCAACAGTTCAAGGTTGAAGAGGCTCGGTAAATTTGTGGGGAACATCAATTAACTAGAAGGGCATCAAAAGGTAAGAAAAGTAGAGGAAGGGAGCAGAAAGTAAATGGTTAAAAGGGTAAAATCCCACCAAAAGAGAAGTGAAAAAGGGGAGGGAGGCTACAAAAAAAAAGCCTTTGCTATTAAAGAGAATGAGAAGGCTGAGAAGCATTTAAGGCTAACCTAATTTTTATAGACCTGGCAGTGAATCTTCAGGTTTGATACCAAGATTTTGTCTCAACATAGCTAAAAGATTTAGACGCTGGGTTACAGACCTACACCGCGGTAAACCATGTGTTTTAATGCTCTCACGTGACGTTACGTAATTAGTGTAAGATGTCACGGCCTAACAAGGTGTAGGGAAGCCTCTCTCGATGAAATTAAAAAGAAAAAAGACATTCAAATACGTGCCGATGGAAGGTAAAGATGTATACTTTCTTCCTTAGTCGACTCTTCCTTGCTGCTTCTCTGTTCTGGGCCAGCCTACGTAGTGTCTGTAGATAAGTTAGCTTAATGGGATTAGCATTTAAGATCGAAAATTACTTTCTAATTAATAAAATCACTTTGATCAATAATCCAAATATCCTAACCTTTTGGTCACCAGTAGTTCTTTCCTTTGCCTGCTCTGTGGAATCCACTACCATTAGTGCTCCATGCTGCACTCCATGAAGCTAAAACAAAATCGTATCTCACATTAATCCACTGACACTAAAAAATTAGAAAGCTAAATAAAGTTTACAGTAAAATATGCAGATTTAAAGCAAATCAACTTAAGATATGGGCCAAGTTATTAAGGTACTAATTGAATTGAAAACATTCTGGAAGCTATCTTTTTAACTGACAAAGCGATATTCTAAATTACTATAATTTATAGGAGGGAGATTCGAACTATAATGCAAAGGAGGTGAGGCGTGGGCACAGTTCTAGCCAACTGACCGAACAAACGTCTTGAAGCTTGAAACAACATGGATGATAATCCAAAATTCCAAATTTCAAAAGATTCTCAATTCCACTAAGCCTATAGAAAGATTCCTATGAAAAAGTATGGTAGCAGTCTAGCAGACACATATGCTCATGAAACAGAGACCAAGAGAGAGATGGTGATACATGGTTTTTGTCATCGGTGTCAACATCCGTCGAAGTGTCAGTCTGCTGGCTGTTGTCAGCCATGGCTGAATTATCACCCCAATTCTCAAAGTGTCCGTTTCCAGACGACGTCGTCCCTTTCTGCTGCTGGTACATGTATGGCTGCTGCTGTCCTGTGTCCACACACCCTCCTCCTCCTGTTCCGGTTATAGTTGATCCTATGTCCAAACACCCGCCAACGTTCAAGGTCCCGTACTGCAAGCTATCAGGTACACCGCCAACATTGTTTGCTTTTAAGCTGAACATGGAGCCTACACCAGATTAAAACCCATATATTAGAGAGAGAAAGAGACAGAAAGGAGGAGAGAGAGACAGAGAGGATACTTGGGCTTAAAACAACAGCATCATCGTGAGGGAAGGCGGTAGCGGACTGTTCAAGCTCTCCAAGATCCGTAAAACGCGTTTGGTTCCGGTCACTGTCGTCTCCCCTGTTTTTTCACATCGCAGAAAAAACAGAGCAATTGGGTTTATCTTTTACTGCTAAATTTCAAGACTTTATGTTTTTTACGCACAACCCATTTCTCATACGCCAAAAAACGTAAACATAACCAGTAAGAAGACGGGAGAACGATAGACCTGAAATAGAAGGAAGAGTGGGAGTAGAATTCTGGGTTTGTTGACGCTGCTTTGAAGCTCTGCATTTTTTTTACTGATTGGGTGGTGATTCCTTCTGCCTGTATCACTTTAAAGCAAAGAAAAGGTAAAAAACGAAGATCTTCAAACGACCTTTTACAGTGGAGAAGGGGGAGAGACAGAGCAGGGTGAGTGAAGTCAAGAAAATCTTGATGTAGCTTTAAGAAGAGGATAGCGTATCAGGACACCCTTTTTAATAAATTTTAAAACAACAGGCTTTTTATTATTGCTTTCTGACTTGGGATTTTAGCTTCCCAATACCCCCAGAGCGAGAGAGCGAGAGAGAGAGAGAGAGAGAGAGGGGCCTTACGTTTCCTCAGTCTCTCGCTTTAGAGCGTTTCGAACACTCTCTCCAGTCTTGGCCTTTTCACTCTGCTACAAGCCTACAATCTCTGCTCTGTTTATGCTTATTAAGCAAAGCAAAATCCAATGTATTTTGAAAACCCAAATCGAGAAAATGATGTAAAAATTGAGGAGGAGCGTGGGACAACTAGTCCACTTGGCCCAAGACAAATAAGACCCCTATGTTGTTGATTCTTTTAGCTCCAGGGTCTCTTCCTGTACTCAAGAGTATAGAGTAGTAGTGTTTAGGGTTCTTTCTCTTTTCTTCTCTCGAGAAGAACTTTTAGGAAGAGGAATTCAAATCAATCATGTATTATTAGCACATCAAAATTTATGATTGTGTGTGATTAGTTTGAAATATTAATGTAGTGTCATGTTATCGTAAGAGCACTTTCACCAGAGGCACATTAGGCCGGCAGCCAGTCAAAAAATCAGGCTGGGACTTAGTTAATCCACTCTAGCCCACAAACTTGTCTGGCACCCAGGCCAGCCCAAACTTGACTGACCAAGGGATCGGCCCCTTTTTTGTTTTGCGCATGGCGCGTGGAGTTCACGCGGCCGTGGGCAAGAGTACCCAACAGCCGTTAAGAGGCGGGGCCCGTAGCGCAAGCGCACTCACATCTCACCCCGGGTAGGCGACGCGGCCCACTGTCTGCCGTTGGATTTCCAACGGCTAATTTTTCTAGACCGTTGTATTTCCAACGGTAAAATTTGAATTTCACTTTTGATCTGG